TCAACTCGCGCGGCTAAGCCGAGTCTTAATTGGTCGCTCCGCGCTTTGGGTTTGGACGGTGGCTCTTCGGTTTGGCCAAGGGCAATCCATCCCTTTCCGCGAATTTTATTTCCCTGTCGGACCCGAAGTTGTTCTCCTGACGAAAGTACGTAACTCCATTTCAATGTTGCCAAATTTTTTTTTAGAAAAATCTACATTTTTACTTGGAATCCATTACGAGGGCTATGGAACAATGGAGATGTTGCATGTGTGAGGAATTTGCGATTTGACTAGTGATTCTCACGTAAAAGTTTGCGAGAAATACGATAGTGCCACTGGTTTTGAAATCAACTCTCAAGCTCAAATAAAGTTCTCAAAATTGAGGCAAAATGGAGGGGATATCTCACACTATCCTGAGAGTCCACCTCTGCATCAAGAAAAACTCTCCATGCAAAGATAGGGAGCAAATACATTGACAGGGCTGCCACTTTATTTGGGGACTCCACAACTGAAAACACGGCGACCCTGCTAATGTATTTGCTCCCTATCTTTGCATGGAGAGTTTGTTTCGATGTAGGAGTGGACTCTCAGGATAGCGTGGGATACCCCCTCCATTTTGGCCTCAACTTGAGAGCTTTTTTTGAGCTTGGGAGTTGATTTCAGACCAAACCAGTGGCACTATCGTGTTTCTCGCAAACTTTTACGTGAAAATCACTATGGTGAAATCGCAAATTCCTCACACATGCAACATCTCCATTCCGCCTAACTAACACTTTTGGCGAAAACGAGTTACCAATTTTGCCGCATTCTACAGTAAACAATATACGCAAGCTGATATTTTTAGTTTTTTCTAATACCACTTGAGACTTCATATTTACCAATTTCATTTTTCATGATATTTACGATTTAATTTGTACCAGATTGCCGGGCAAAACGGATTAAGCCCTAGACATTTTTAGAGGAAGAAGGGGAAGGAGAGTTATAATTCTGTTCAGTTATTATCGTAATGTCGGTTAAATACTCGGTATTTACTATTGTATCTTCCCGCAAGACTGTAAGAACCCTGTTCCGTGGAGTCAGTGAATGCGAAAAATGCCTGAAGGTTCATTCCCAGGATTCGACTCCAGGACGAATCTCATGAAAGCGTCCCAAGAAGACAAGGTCTAGGAGGAGCATCAGTGACATGCGTGTTTCATCCGACACTGATCAAGTAAAATGTACAAATGGTACTTCCTACACAAAATCCAGCCAATGCGAAAATAAGGTGTAGTTTACCAATGGCGGATTTAGAGATGTGCACATTGAAATTTTTCATTTCTCTTCAAGTCAAAACAAGTGGTGGGGAGAAAAGAGAGAAAGAGCAAATGGAAGAGACGAGAGGGCTAGAGACCGGTGAAAGGATTATTCACTAAAATTGGATAAAAAGGAATTTAATTTTTTTTTTTCCAAAAAAATTCCTTTATAGATGATAAAAGTTAGAAATTGCGCATGTTTGTAGACGAAGGCTGACTCTTCAGTGCATGACCTCAGACAAAATGCATATACTCCATTACTCCGTGCATAAAGACTTTCTCTGTTGAGAACGGTCCAAGTTAAAGCGAAACAATGTAGTGCCTGAATCTTATTGACGCGTCAAGTTGACAAAGCGCTAATCCCTCTTAATCCCATCTCGAAAGCTCTAAACGATGGGATGCGATTGCTCTCGCTTGGTTATCCGTGAGCCGTGGCCCGGTGCAGAGACAGAAACAGCTTTCAATTCGTCGTCACGCTATACATGAAGATGCAATTTGAAAGTAAATAAAATTGTACAGAAAATAACTTCTTCCGAGTCAGTCTAAAACTGACGCTAAGAGTTTGTTCACTAGACAGAATTCGTGAAAAAACTTTTGCATTTGAATTAACCTATTCAAATTTGCATTAAATTTTTTATGTTACTTTTATTTTTTGCGAGTGCATCCAGTAACGTGGCGTGCTTTACGATGTATCAATTGGACTGCATTTTGCAATTTGGAACTATAAATTCTGGCTCATCTAAAAAAACACTTATGAGCATAGGGATACTAATGGCACATGCGTTTTTTTTAAACCGGGCCAGAATTGATAGTTCCAAATTGCAAAATGCAGTCCAATTGATCTGCCGTTTAATTATACGGAAACAGGGTGTTCGCTACGAACGCCTTAATAATCGATTCTTTACCATGGCTTCTAATGGGGAAATATCGAAAATCGATCATTCACGCCCCGCCACTGAGTGCATCCCTGTTTTAAATAAAATTCAACTTAATCTCGTATTAACAGTATCAAGAGAAGTTTGATTCAATAGATTGACGTTTGATGGAACAGTTTTAAGTTAAACTAGGGTCTTATTCCTTCAAGTTAGATTCAAAATTAGAGCCCTTTTAAAAATTCACCAGGTAAAGGACAAATCAATAATTAATGCAGCTTCTTTAACATGAAGATTGATTGGCTCTTGTTGACTAGATTCGATTTGATGGTAATCACGCGCGGATTTTTTTCTGGTATGACTTACAGTCAGTGCCTCTGTACATTACTTGACGTCTCATACCTTTAAAATCGGAAATATTTCGAAACCGATGCGTCCTTGAGCGTTTTGAGCAAAATAGCAAACTTTGCATGACTTTTCTTGCCAATTTATGTGACCGGTTATTAAGTAAAAAAAAAGAAGAAAAAAATCCGTGTTCTGATTTATTTTGAGATGTTACTTGAAGGTTCCAATATGAAGTTGAGATCGCTTAAACGGTTAAGCCAGCGTTAGAATTTCCTATCTTCCGGCATTCTTGAAACGCTTTGATTTGCGAATCTTTCGACAAAACCGCGCGAGGTTTGGCGGGGCATGAAAAACAACAAAATTCTTTGAGGCGTGCTTTCAACTGGCAATCCGTGAAATCTGTTTTCGGGTCAATGCCAGACAGACTCTTTCTGAGTATTCATTTGGCATGAGGATAAGTGGTATAATTACGGCTCAAGCATACAAGGTCTTTTTTCAGAACTCACGACTCAATCTCAGCATGAAAATTTGCGACATATACGTGGGTTCAGAATATGAAAATAATTTAAAATAACGCCATGGGGTTCGCAATCCCGAGTATGTTCTATTGCCTAATGCACTGCTGTATTCCTACGGTTAGCAAAAGTCTGCACATGAGGGTAAGAATGGAGGAAAAACTTGGAGGAGGGAAAGAAGAAAAGGATGATTAGGAGGTAAAAAACAAGAAGACTACAAAGGAAATAGATAAAAGTGATCTTCGATAGGCAAAGGGTTCCTCCTTTTTTTTAAAAACAAAAAAATTTGGCTTTTGCAAGCAAAGGCTAAATCAGTTTCTATAATTCTTAGAAGTTTTCAGAGACAGCCTGATTTTGCACAGCTTCAAACTTCCTTGTTTTTTACAGTACGACAGGGAGCTGAGATAAGTTAGGTTTGGTTGGGTTAAGCAACCAAACTAACCTCGTGGCGAAGCGTGGAGTATCGCGCAATGCTGAAGGCGTGATAGATTTGAGTCTCTAAGAATAATATTCACCACGTTCGTTCTAAACCAGGCAGTGCATGCCGCGAGTTCTCTACTGATTAGAATATGTGTTGTAACACCGAAACTATACATTTAAAAATTTCCGCGTTTATGGTTACTTTGGGTTACTGCCCCTGAGAGAAGTTCAAGGAAACCCTTGAAATAGCATCAGAAACAGGACAACTTTTGACGGCCCTGGATAAAATTCAGCAGTATAACTTTGGTACATAGGATCTTGAGAGGGTTTACAATGATTTTCTACTGTACATAATAAAAAATACTAGGAAAAAATGATTTAATTTCGACTGATTTTGATGTAGGTGCTAGGTGCTAACCTACCTTAAAATCTACAAAACTCGCAAATTACTTTCCTTAACCTTACTTTACTTATTTTACTTTCCTTGTAATTTGTTTATTTCGTAGTGGTAAATCACAGAAATCCCTTTCAAAGACTCATTTCCAAAGTTACACCGCTGAATTCCACTCAAAGTTGGAAAAAAAATCACCCTTTCGATGATGCTATGTTAAGGATCTCCACGAACCTCTGTCAGGAAACGCCACCCAAAGTAACCATTATCACGGAAATTATCGACTGGGCACGCTCGATGATACAACATATTTTCACATTTTTATTTTTAATCACATTTTAATCACAATGTGAACCTAATGGAGCCTCCCGGGGAAACGAGGTGTATAAAGAACGACCCTGAATACCACCAATAGTTGCAATCGATCACGTAGCTGACGAGTTGGTTGGACGTATCTAAATCAAAAGGAACTATATTGTGACATGAGCCCTGTCACACATGTGTCCTTATGAATCTCAGGGCTCTTGTCGGAATATATATAGTTTCTTTTGAATTAAAGACGTCCAATTGATGTATCGGAGCGGCATGAGAGGCTCGTTGAGTATTTGTCAACGAGCCATCAAAACGGTGCATCAACGAAACCGGGTGCAGGTGGCGCATGAAAAATGCGCTTACCGAAGTGCACTGCATTGAATGCAGTGCACTTCTGCATTCCCGCCCGCGTGCAGAGCCGCGGCGTCAATGACCTTTCTAACCACCCACTATCACATGAGTGCAGTAAAATCGTAGTGATTTCGATAGGACAACTGCAAAAAAGTTACGAAAAATTGAAATATTTATGTCTCGATCAAAATTTACACTTTGCAGCGAACTGCCATGCATGACTTGGATCGCATTTAGCAAAAAGGAACCAGTGTCATTAAAGTGTTCTCAAAATCGCACAAATTATTTCTTCCCTTTAAAAATACATAATGTATGTGCAGTATTGAAATTTACATTATTGTTTTTCTTTAAAATTGACAAATTTTTGGTGGGAAGAGAAAACGATTTGCTATTCTGGGAGATTTTTTAGAAAATTATGAAGAAGCAGTACTTTTACAACACTGTAAAATTACGCTGGTTCTTTTTTGCTAAATGGGATTCACTTGAACTTCGGGTTATGAAAGATATTTATTCAGGAACTTACCCTCTGACGAAGTTCTCTTTCTGACTCGATATCCTCTTGTAAAAGCCGGATCTTGTCCTGAAGAAAAATAAAAATAAATCTTTAGTGCAATGAAACGTAAAAATAAAGGTTGCGTTTTTTACGGTGGAAAATGTATCTGTATGAAGTGGCGTTGGCCTCTCTCAAAATTTAAAGAAAATTCCTGGTTTCCGACGAGAGCAGCCTAGTTGCTGACGTCGTCGTAGTTAAAAAACTAACTAACAACTTTACGGAGTATGAAAATATATGCAATTTAAGTGCTAAGAGTTTTTTTTACCATTGCTTAGGTAAAACTTAAGATCGAGATTTTGATTTCTCGTGAGGCAATGATTTTTGAGCATCACATTGCAAAGAGAAAGAAAAATTAACCTGATGAAGAAAACTTTTTTTGGCATTTTCCCTTGATGATATAATAGAAAATATGCTACGGTAACAATTTTGAAAATTCGCTTCCGTCAGAAAAATGGACTGTGTTTTTGCCATTGTTGTTTCTGAGAAGAATGACCAAAACTTATATCAATCATCTCGGGTTTGATTATACACTGGACTGAAAGTGACTTCAGTTTCTGTGTAATGCAAACAAGACATTGTCCAAACATGGGTGCATCCGAATGGACACATCCATTTTTGAAATTGCACGACTTAACATACATATTGGGAAAACGCGAAAAATAAAAACAATCTTTCAATTTGCGGCAAGATACAATATAAATGAAGTATTCATCTTGCTTCAATACTAAAAAACCAAAAAAATAAGGTTTCTGGTCGCACCTTACAACAACACATATACATAAAAACAGATGCATGGAGTAAAATATAAACGTAGGATTGAATGAGGAGGTTGCAAATTTCGGAACTGAAACATGTCAATAGAGGAATTCGAAGTTGAAGAATGCACATCGCAGTCATCGGTCAAAGTAGGTTCGGCAAGCAGAAATATACGTGCATTGAGAGGGTAAACGTGACATACATTCGGATAGGACAACGCAAAATTTTGGAATCATAAACTCATAACAGAGGTGGAGAGAGGGAACAAGTTCTTGGTTTCACATGCAACTCAAGTAACACGGTACGGTGGAGATGCAGGTATGCAATCTGGGGACATTCTCGCAAAACTCTTTTTGAACTCGATCCAAATTTCGTGTCGATCTGATGACTATCATAATTCTGTAACATGATCCGAGTGGAGGAACAAAATTTGTAAGCTCACACATTTGACAGAGCTTTCACCTCAAAAACGATCAATTACTGAGAAAACATTGTGAAGACACACTTGTAAGACGCACTAAGCTTTGCAATCTGCGTGCCGATTAAATAGTTCTCATAAGGAGCATGTGCATGTACGCTTCTTAAATCATGAAGGAAATGATTCAAATCTGACGGATAGTCATCAGAGACACGAAAGAACGTTGTGCACTTGGTTACTTACTGTTTTGTAAACATTTTTTGTCTGAAACAAATTAAAACTAGCATTAATGCTACGTAAAAAAAGGTAACTTACGATTTGAGCTCCCGAGAAGCTTGTGGAAAAAGTCAAAAAACAAATATTTTAGACATGATGTTACCCTGATGAACTAATCAGCGGATGAACACTTTTAAGTTAGTTCATTGCAGACTTTTTTTCCTTCAAAGAATGGTAGATTCCTACTTCAGACATGCAGTAAAAATGTTGGCGAACATTTGTCTGAACATGTCATCTTCATTCTTAGGTAATTTATGAATAAACTCGTAAATTACATGCAGCTGGACGATTTTACTTAATAAAATAAGCCTAATTCGTACTTTACGTTGTGTAATGTGGGGCTAGATGATACATACATGTGAGCCGCATTTACACCGCTCTCTTGTGCTCTTCGACACCTAACCACCACAGTAGTCTGTCCTCCCACTGCTCTTAAGAAAATTGACACTCCCTCATCTCGTCATCTCATTTAAAACCCTCTATCGCCAACCTTTCACTGGGCAACTTCATTTTCTCTTCCCAGGAGGAACCCTATAAAGCACTCCTTCCGATGTAACTATGGAGTAGTGTTCTACCATACTATATTCTTTACGATACTACTCTTACGGTACTATTCCATTGAGTTAGGCTACATCATACTATTACAAATTCTATGGGGGGATATGTCAAATCAGCGGGCTGATTATTCAATGAGATAGACAAAGCTATAGACGAAGATGGCACAGGGAATATGTAATCCCTGGTAAAAATTGGCGACAGGAGCTGAGTTTCCAAATACCATAGGAGTCCTTATAGCCGACTAAAGAAGGCTGTTGAAAATCATCTAGCTGGCTGTAGAAAGCGGAGCAAATCATATAGCCGGGCTATACGAAGCTATAAAAAAGTATACAGTCGGGCTATAGTTCCTATCTCCGGGCTTTACACTTTATCGCCATTGGCTATGAAAGGCTATAAGAAATTGTATAGAAATTCGTGTGATTTGGAAATCATTAAGTTTGATACGGAACTACCTTTATATTTACAAAACGCACATTATATTTTCCTTTAAAACATATTTTTTTCATCAATTAAAATGATAATTGTCCATACAGAGTGTGCAAACATTTCAAAATCATGAGTTGAAAAACGCTGACTCCGCGAGATTAAATATTAGAGCCTAACACAAAGCGGAGCGGCTACGCACTGGCGCCTACAAACCTAACAGGGATACTTCACGCATTGCGCAATGCGTGAAGTATCCCTGTTAGGTTTGTAGGCGCCAATGCGTGTTTCACGCTCTCTGCCCGCCCGCCGCGCCGCAGCGTGCAACGGCGTCTGAAGCAACTATTACACACCAGAGGTATTGCACAATATCATACGAAATTGAAGGCGCTCCAACATATTAAGAATGACAGGCATCCTTCAAAAGTACGGAGCTTTCCTCGCAAAATAAATCAAGATACTACGGCACAAAAAGAGAGCGGTAGTCCAAAAACTAACCAAGTCCTAGTATCCGTATTTAGTAATGTTTAGCATAAACTTTATCGTCTGGCTGTTGCTTAATCGCCATCGGCTATAAAAGGCTATAAGAAATTGTACAGCCGGCTACAGATGCTATATTGGAAATCTTACAGCCGGCTTTAGGTCTATAGTATTTTGGAACACACATTCTACTGCCAATTTTTACCAGGATGAACTCATTGGTTGGAATGAGAGATTGCGATGGACAGAGGAGGTAGCAATAGGCTAACCAACGGCATCCCACCAGGGACCTTATAGTTAGTCCATTCTTTTCCCCCTTTGTCTATAGGAACCATCCGTGTCCACCGATAGAATCCCTCCATACGCCTTCGGTCCTCTTTGTCTGTAGCTTTGTCTATCGATATAGATATCAGTCTGCTGGTCTCTGAAGAGCTACGTGGATGAGAATTGAAAACTTCGAAAAATGCGGAGAGAGCGTTGATCCTAGGGAACGGGAGCCAAGACAGGCTCGTTAGGAGGCGGTGGGCGAGCGAATTCTTGCGAGATGGTGGAAACGGCCACGCCACCGTCGCCGCCGCCGAGCATGTTATTTCGGTGTCCGAGTACAAACGACTCGGGAGCCGTTGCCGCCGAAGCCCGCCAGATGGCGCCACCGTCTCCATCTCCATCTCCGTCACGTCGCTCGGGCAGCCATTTATTTTTAAAACGGATTTTACGGGCACTCGGTGAAAGTGCCGGCCCCGGATTTATCGTCCGCCGGCGCGAGGCTCGATTTGTCGAAAATCATCGGAATTATCGTCCGCCCGAAAGCTAACTCCCCTAATTAACGTCCTTAAATGCCCCTCCTGCGCGGGCCCAGGATTAATTATTCACAAATGATCGGGGGTGATTTACGAGCTCACTGAACAAGACTCTATTGGCAGAATATCACTTCGCTGTTGGAATTCCTCGTGTATGAAACTATTCGTATACCTATTTTTAGTCACGCTCGGAAACCGAGAAGAACAAGTTCAGCAGAAATGAACATAGTATAAGGCCTCGATAGACGATCGAATTCCCGAACCAATTCCGATCAAAGTAGCATCAAAGTGTCGGGAGTCATCAGTCTTAAACTCATTAATTTGCTTCATTTTAAAATGAAAACTTGGCAGAAATGTTTCCTGTGGCAGGAAATGATGAATGGTGGCACTCCGTTCTGATCTTACTTTGAACAAAAAAGTGCGGCCCGTCAAAATTTGATGGTAGATGGTGACCACCAGTCACCAGCATGTCTACTTTGATCGGAATTGGTTCGGAATTTGATCGTCTATGCAGGGCTGTACGGGCGCGGTTATGCAAATGCCTATTTCCACAAGGAAATCAATGTCTTTTCTGGAGGAGGCTGGTACACGATGACATTTTAATCATTTGTATCATTATAAAGGATGACAATATCTGCATGAAGACCGAGCGAGGAATTCAACACTGAAAATAAAAGCTGCGGGCGATATAGACATACCGTCCGTTCCGGGCTCAGAGGCCGAAAGTTCCGGGTGCTGGAGCCGTAGCTTCGATTGCTTCGTGTGCTACGCCTTGAACTTTCGGCCTCCGAGCCCGGAACGCGGGCCTCATTATTGTCTGTTAATTTTTTTAAGTTTCTTAATCCGTGTAAATGCCACATGAATGATTATTTTGTGCTCAGGGATGCCTTAAAAGCTCGCTGAACTAGAGTCCTTAGGCAAAATATCGCGAACTTCGTTGTTGGGATTCTTCTTGGATGCAACTAGTCATACCCTATTTTAAGTCACGTCCGAATACCGATCGAGTTAAGTTAAGCGGAAAAGACCCAATATACGGATACGTTTATTAAAATCTTACATTCAAACGGCAATGAAAGGTTTATTAACGTCCTATATTCAAAAGAAAATTAACGTTGGCTCAAAAACAAGTCAAAAAAGTTGGAATCCTGTCTGCTAAACTGGGCCCTGTCGAGTAAGGAGACCCTTCCTTCCTTATCAAAGCAGTCAAAAATACAAAATTCGCCACGTGTTCTTTCCTTGTTTTATTATGATTTCTTTTGCGAATGCGTGCATACATAAAAAGGGTCTTTTAGAAAAAATTTCACCACGTGCGGTATTCGAGTGCCCCTAGATGCAATTACTTATTCATACCTTATTTCTAGTCACACCCGAAAATCGACTGGACCAATGTTTGTAGAAAAGTACCAACTACACGAGCACATTCGTAAGAACATCGATATTTTAACGGAAACAATGGCAGATTAGTCGTTTCTGATAAAGGTAAGGCAACTGACATACGTCGTTTCTCTTCTGTTAAAAAGGGTCCAATCAAGAGCGAAGGCAATAGCGTCTCGCTGTGTCTTTCTTTTTAGATCAAATGCGTCAAAATAACATGATTCTTGCGAGGTTTTTCCCCTAGCTGCTTATTTTTAATATTTTATTCTTTGATTATAAGATAAAGTCGATAGTGAAACTGGAAATACACGTATTGTAATTTTTAATGTAGCAGGATTCCTGCAGGATTTTACTTTTTTGATCGGCAATCGAATGTCGTAACCGCGTGATGTATCCCTACTCTTTCAAGTTTCGTTGAAGTTTCTATCTGTTGCCGAGAGACTATTGGACGGTTACTATTTCTGACTTTCCGGGATATTATATTGGTTGGGTTGGGTTTCTTTGATCCAACAGTCATTATAAGAAAAAGGGAACTGTATTCCTAGATTGGGTCAATTAGATTTACTGGATGATAAATGAGTCTTAAATTGATGGAATATATTAGGGTAAATAGGTATGTGCGATGTGACTTGGAATTATTAACTACTGCTTACAGTTCCCTAGCTAAAACTAAAACCGCTAAAACTACTGCTTACAGTTTCCTGACGCCGTTCTATTAATTTTTCACTGAAAGCTGTGACAGTAAATTAGCGTGGCATATGCGACTTTATACCTAGACTATAGGCACTTAAACTCTACAACTATTTGCAACACCATTCAGCTCAACGTTAATAATGGTGTCATTCCCAACAATTCCACGCCTTTGAAATATGTATTAATAATCCACAACTATTTAATTAAAGCTAATAGTATTTGCAATATTTCTGTGCTGAGTCCATTTGTCGCGGGCAAATAGTCAAATCAGGCATTTGGTCAAATGCCTAGGCTTGTAGTCACATATCCTTACTCAGATTGGACTTCTGATTCGTTTGCTAATTTTTGACAAAGTAGTTCATGTCTCATCTAAGAAATAAATATTAGTAAAAATGTCCATCATAGGAATTTAGCTCCTGGACGAATATTTCCGTTGAACTTTGCAGCACGTCATAAAACGCAGAATTTATACATTTTTAACATTTAAACATATGAGGAGCAGTTGAAAAAGAAGTAATAGGGAGAGTTCGTAGATTTGATAAGTTATTTTTTTTTTTCAAAAATATTGAAATTTACAGGATTTTCAAACTGTCAAAATTTGACCATCAGCCTATAGGCATTTGATAAAATGCCTGATTTCACTACTTGCCTCCGACACATCTAAATGGTTCAGCATGTCACAAAAACGCAAACTGGTAGTTTCAGACTATAAATGAACGAAAATTCATAAAATCTGCTCAAACATCAAGGCTGACGTGATGTGAACGGATACATCGACTTTCGGGGTAAAAAGGTCCAAAACGCTATTTACCACGAGGCGGTGGTATGAATCACAGTTTCTTGCACCTTGGTTTTGCGAATGTTGTCACTGAGCACCTGATGCACATTAAATCATCGCTTATTGATAAGAAGGTGGTATTACGCAATACGGCAGTGGATGACATCAAAGACCATTTTCCTTAAGAAAGATGATATCCGATCCCAATTTACGAAAAAAACCAGAGCAAATCTAATAATTTTTCGCTCATTCAAAAGTTATGTAATTTAAACATGACTTGGTGATACGAGCACCAGAGCCACACTGTACGGGGATAAAATATAATGATAATGATTCTTATAAATTCCGGCAACATGTGAGTAATTTATACTACGAGGAAACTCAGGAGATACTACTGTAGGCCAGCCGTCCGGTTATTAGATTTCTGAGGTTCAAATATGTGCAAAAATCGAGCATTTTCCAAAATCAAGGAATATTCACTGGAAGTCCCCATTGATCCGATCAGACATTTTTTCCGTAACAGTATATCCTCAATTCATGCCTCTATTGGTGTTCCACGCGGCCATTTAGAGAAATAATACTGAAACTCTACTTTAGATTTTGCACATTTCTTCCGCACCAAAGGCCTTTTCTAAAAAAAAACTTGATCGCTGATTGTCTTTCTCTCACAGTAAACACGTAATAATGTATCACGATCATACTGCACGTATTAATAACAGATATTGTCACCTTCCGGGTAAAGTATTACAAGCGCCAATGTTGACTCATAGGAATACAGAATGACTTTTTGGGGCTGGGGGCTATTCTGCATTAAAAAGAGCAATTTAACTGCTAAAAATTTGAGAATGTAATTTTTCGAAAAACACTTTTGTCTGCTCTTTTATTTTAATTTATTAAACGGATAAAAAACATGTTCATCGCAAGCGCTAAGGGGTCTTAAAACAAGGTATCACATATCACTATCACCAAAATGGTCACTTAACTCAACTTTTCTCCTTAAATGTTATCCAAACCAGACGATAAATGTGATTGTGAACATTTATTCGAAATATCAAGTTTTGAATTTTTCTGTTGTATATTGGTCCTCTGGGAATTGGTGTTGAAGATACTTTGTCCAGAGGGTGACGCAATATCCGATGGTTTTCGGGTAAGGCAAAGAACAGAGAAAATCCTGGAATGCAGTTATGGCCCTTTTACTTTGCACAGTGCTACAGTTCTCCTGAGACGACTTTGCCTCAGTCAAGTTTGGTAGCCTCTTAATAATCTTATTGATGGTGAAACGGCAGAAATGCGTATCTCGGTTTGCGGCGTTACAGACTTCCTGTCATGCTTTATTTCCTTTATGGAAAACTACTGAGCGTCATTTTTTGAAAATTTTAATGATTTTTCATCTTTTCGTGAAGAATATTCTGTGAAAACCTCAAACTATGATGTTGATTCTGCCTCCTTTGAAAAAATAAAATAGGAGCGGAGATTTCGAAACACCGCGACTGAGATACGAATTTTTTCAGTTTATAACATTATTGTTGCAGTTTTGCGTCGATATTTGACCCTTGGCTGCACAGTTAAAAATTTACGTGTTTAGTGTTACTCTGTATTACTTTTTATTCCTTTCCTTGTGTCAAATCAACCCAAAAGACCTGGTTGCTCAAGCCAATTTTGTGTTAAATCGACCCAAACCGTAAACTACTTTAAGACATCAGATCATGAAGAAAGTGTCCTGCTGAACTTGTGTACTCTCGTTCTTTACTCCATACTCAGAGGATGCGACTTGAAAGCGGCTGGCTCATTGGATAACGACAAATGTGGTCAAGAATCGATCCTGGCGTCTGAAGCCAAATTTTTCACTGAGTCGCAGATTTTCAACACAAAGATTTGGTTTCCTCAACACAAAGAGTTGGTCGATTCGACACAGGGAAAACTAACACACAAAAAATTAACCAACAGCTTGTGTTACCTCGTGTTTTACTCCTCATACTAACACACAATTTTGGTTACTATGTACCCATTTTTCCAGCGTATTTTTCCTTAGGGCTAAAAGATTTGGTTACCTCAACCCAAAGAGTTGGTCGATTTGACGCAGGGAAAACTAACACACAAAAAATTAACCATCAGCTTGTGTTACCTCGTGTTTTACTTCCCATACTAACACAAAATTTCGGTTACGATGTACCCATTTTTCCAGCGTATTTTTCCTTAAGGCTAAAAAGAGTAGGAACTCGTTTGGTTTCGTACCTCGAGCCGGGAGAGAGCGCTGAGGTCGTGCGAGTACTCGATGCTCACGTCGCCGGCGCCTCCCGTGGAGCGGTACGTGTAGGACTTGCTGGTTTTCGACACAGACATGGTTCCAAGGTCACTCACTTAAACTTTATAAAAAACCAAAAGTTCGGAGAAAGGTCTCGGGGAGCGAGAAGCGGGAAGCGGAACTCAGGACTTGCACCGGTCGGACATTCGCGGTCGCGGCACGGGTCACCACTCGCGGGGGAAAATAGTGAGAGCGCACGTCGGACGTCGCACGTGGGAACCGCTCGGGGCTTCGTTGACGCTACGCGATTTGCTTCCTGAGCCGGGGCCCCGTCCTCGCAGCCCGAACCCGGAGCTGGCCGTCCTATTATTTTACAACCACGCTTGCGCCTCCAGAGAAGTGCCCAAGGCGCCCGAGAGAGAGAAAAAACGCTCCCAGCCTTGCCGGATCGCAGGGTAAAATATGCATTTTTTTACTCTTCACGGGAAAAATTGAGGGGTTTGGGGCAAGGCGCATCACTGGAAAAAAACACATTGGATCTAGAGTCCAGACTCTTGAAAACATTGACAAGAAAATGAACTCTTGATTCAATCAGATTTAAGCTTAAATTAAAAGGAAATCCGCTCAAACTAAGAGGCTTGGTTCTTGATTTATGCTAGATTCTGATTGAATCAAGAGTATTTTTTCTTGTCGATGTTTTTATGAGTCTGGACTCTAGATCCAATGTGTTTTTTTTTACCAGTGAGGAGCATAAGTGCAGATTTTGAAAAAAATTGATATATTAATGATGCCAACTGTCACGTGGATTGCATTTAGCAAAAAGGAACCAAGATCATTCCAATGTTGCTAGGATTGAACAACTTAAATTCTTTGCAAAAAATTACAGAAATCATGAAAAAAATTTACGAAGGTGGTTTTCGTATTACATTCACAATTTATGGGGAGTAAAGATAACTTTATCAGATGATCGGTTTCTATTTGCAAGGTGAAAAAAGTTGCACAATCTTAGCGACATTGGAATGCTTGTGGTTCCTTTTCGCGAAATGCAATCCAAGTAAAACTAGTCTTAATGCATATCTTGTGAAAAACTCGATCCCAAATTCCAACTTTTAAGCATCACTGAAGTCTGCATCGGTTTCAATGAATAACGATGCTCGTAAGTTGGTAACCCCGTTGTTATACGTGTTAAAAGTGTGTGTCTGTGTGTGATATACATCAGTGAATGTAGGGATGAATTTTTTAGAAAATCGACGTGGTAACATCCAAGCGGAAAATTTCATTAAACGCAAGTTGCGTCATTCGTAAAATTGCACCTCCATCACCTCCAATTAATTCAAAATGGCCTTATTATTCTCATTTTTGGCAAGGCAGAAGTATATTTAAGGGGCTCAGGGAACACGGCGCAGAAGTACAGTTTTGAAGAAAATCGAGATATTAATGATTTCAAGTAAAACTGGATTGCATTTTGCAAAAAGGAACCACTAGCATTGCAATGATGCTAAGATTGTGCAACTTCATCCTTTGCAATACGATTGCGGAAATGGTGAAAAACTATGAAATTTAGATGGTAATTTTTGTCTTAAATTTACAGTTTTTAGTGAGTAAAATAGAAACTATTAAGGGATAATCGGGTTTTTCCTCCAAGACAAAAGAAGTTGCACAATCTTAGCAACATTGCAACGCTAGTGGTTCATTTTTGCAAAATGCAATCCAACTAGTCTTAATGCATATGCTATGTGAAAAATTCGCTCCCGTATTCCAATTTTTAAGCATCAAAAAGTCAGTTTGAACTTTCTTTCCGCCATGAGGATTCATTTAATTTCCAAACTTCAAACATGTGGTTATCGAAAACGCAAAAACCGCACTTATGCGCCTTGTCCTCCAGGCCCCTCAATTAGATTATCTATACGCGCAGGGTCAGGTGTCTACAAAATGTCATTTCTGATTATCCTGAGATTCCCCGATTTTCCCGGACATATTTCCCTGATTATGATTTTTTCCTGTTTCCCTGAGTTATTTGAATGTAAGTCCCTGATTTTTATGCGCGACATGGTGGAAACGTGTTTGATTTCAAAAACCAACATCATTGCTAAATTGAATCACGTGCTTCACGTTTGCATGTGTTAAACTGCATGTACACGGTAAAAACGAGTAACCGACATTTCGTGCTCATGTATGGAAAGTAAAACACAAAGTAGCCTCAGCTTTCGGTTGATTCTGGGGTTCCCAATCCCTTCATTGTTTCCTGCGCTAAATTCACGGCAAGCTGCACCAAAATCAATACAAAATTTGGGTCGGTTTGTGTTCCACCTCCTACATTAACCAAAAGTAGCACAAAAACACAAGTGTTCATCAGTGTGAAAAACTCTTCACGCACTCGAAATTGTCTGATCCGTGACCGATTTCCCTGATCATTGACCAGTTTTTGTGATCTTGGGCCGATTTTCCTGACATTTTCCTTATTTTTCCTAATAATATCAAAATTCCTGAAATTTTCCAGATACCCCGGGTTTTATTGATGATAGACACCGTGAGGGTGACCCAAAAGTTCAGCACTACACCTATTGCCCCTCAGGTTCTTGCCCCAATTCAAGGTGGTCCTTTCAAAAGGTCGGAGAATCCCAGAAGTTGTTTCTTTTGCCCTGGCAGCACTCACAAAATTTAAAGTACCCACCTCAATTTTTTTAAAAATTACTGGCTGATGCCCCATATTGGTGGTCCGGAACTTTTGGATCACACTGTATAGAGGGAGTATGAACATTGTATACAGCAAAGTGGGGGACCAGAAAATGGTAGTGACCCTAGATGGAAGGGAGTTGTTCCTAACGTTTGACGCCTTGCTGAAAGAGACCAGGTTGCTAACATGCTCAGATCATAATATGAGCGTATTTGAGCTAAAAGAGACCACATGCTAATAAAGCAAATCAAGAGAGACTATGTAGCACGCAGACCCATGTTACCATGTTGGTCTTTTCGATGTAACGTAACATACTGTGGTTCTCATTGATAGCACATTGGCATCATGTTTGCGATAACATGCTACCATGTTTCACTCACCAACATCAACATGGTCGTTGTTAGCAGGGCGACCATCTAGCCCACTTGTTGCCAACCTTGCCATGAAAATGGAGGTACAGGTCGAAAAGATGTTTTTGGTAGAATGCAACAAAACTGATTTTAAAACTGCGACAATTTAATTTAATTCACGGCTATACTAAAAATAAAACCTTATTGTCTGCCATTTTCAATCCTCTGCTTGCAACATCCATCATTTTTTGGTTTTGGGGAGCTCCACAAAGTCAAGATGGCTGAAAAAATCATAAACGGATAGTCCAATGATCTTATTTTCACAATTAAGGGACTTTTGCGAAAAAGAGCTCGGTCCGCGAAATTTCAAAACTGACTTTTTGGTGTTTAAGCATTATGGAATGACCTACGAAAATTTTGGCTTAAAAAAGAACATCAGCCCAAGTTCAAATGATGTAATCTCCAAGGAAAGGGTTCAAAATCCCGATTTGCCATGATCAATACATAACACCGCGGTATATTTTTGAGATAAAAGAGTATACTCAGTGAAAGACTTCGTATTAAAGGGATCGCATTTGAGAATGCAGTATCTCTGAAGCTTTTGATTATTCTAAATAACAAAAACCTATGTAGCTATACGTGTTACCTCCTGATAGTAGTGGTAAAATTTCAAGATCTAATGCGCAAACTTAATAAGCGAAGAGGAATATGAAATGAGGACCCACGCAGCCTTTTACTAGACAACGCTTTTGCGGCAGAAAATACTTGACGCTGCTTACTGCTTACTCTCGGGCTCTTAATTACGTAAACCAATCACAAACTATCTATTTTCCAATCGATAACAATAGGATTAGGGAATAGGCGTCTTCCGCAATAAAGACACAAGCCTCTATGCGCCACTTTACCGAACAATACCTCAATTGGACTACATTTTGCAATTTGGAACTATAAATTCTAGCTCGGTTTATAAAACAACTGACCATTGGCGCTGCATTTGGTGCAATGCGAGAAGTATTCATGCAGTCTTGCAGGCTCTAATAAGCGTTTAACGCCGGCCGCATGCACTGTGTTAGAACAATTGCGGCATCGAATCATGGGATGGGCCTAATAAGGTCCATGTTGTATTTCGACACCAAAGTGGACTACATTTTGCAATTAGAAACCACAATTTCTGGCTTAGCACTTAAAAGTATAGGTAAATTTATGACACATACACTGACTCTAAAGTGAGCTTAACATTTTGGTTACTTTTTGCAAAATGTTGTCCAATCCAAACCAAACTATATACTACGCTATACACTACGCTATATACTATGTTGTCCAAACTATATCATTTTGGATGGTTAACACCACGAAGATTCAGAATACACGTTTACCGCTGAAAACGCATTAGCCATTATGCACCCTTCAACCGAAAAATACCTTAATTTCTGGCTTATAACGCGAATGCACGCCCTTCTATCTGCACAAAAATGAAGTGAGCCGCTTGAAACTTGATCTGCCTGACACTAGAAAAAATTTTCCGTCAAAACTTCAAAATCTGGTTTTTTGACCCACCTCCATAAAAATCGCTTTAGTGATAGTGTTGCCTTTGTGATTCCAGGAACCTTTACCTGTAAATGGTCCCAGGAATGCATAATTTTACGGAAAGTGTTGATTTTGGCGCCCGATCTGGCGACCGTGCACAGAGGGCCCCCTCCCTTGCCGATCTCACTGTTTTCCCACAAAAATAAATAAAATATGCGCCCAGCTAAATTTAGCCGCTACCTTTTCCTGAACGCGAGTAATTGCAGACGCTCTCTTCTCCCCCCACATCTATCCCTCTCTCTCTGTAGAGCATTGCCAGATTTGGACTTAAAAGTTGGAATTTCTGAGGCGATCCATGAGCAGAGATGCAAAATTTCATGATACTTCATGTGACGAAATTTCATAAATTTATTTGAAAACTTTTTGAGACATTGGATGGGCATGGTGCACTCAAAGACATAAAAAACTCGGTTTACGAGGAAGTTGGGATTCAAATTTTTGGGTAAAATTCTCGATAATTTGTAGCAGGAAGCAAATTAGGACCCGAGGTATGACATTTCGGGAAGTCTTCCGAGTTAACAGACATTTTAAGAAATTTCAATTTGCGTCTCAGTCTAAGGGAAAAGACTAATCAGTCATGACGTCACGACAGAGTTTCACTTGGAAAAGTAAATAATTGCGATGAAAAGGAAAATTGTTTTGGTCTTAAGGGAGACTTACGACGAAATCCAGGGCGTCTACTCAACAGGCTGGCCAAAAATCAGTGC